AGTGAGGGGCCCAAGACTGCACCCAGCATTTGAGGTGTGGCCTCACCAGAGCCAAGCACAGGGGGACGATCACTCCCCTACTCCTGCTGGCCACACGATTTCTGCTACAGGCCAGGATGCTGTTGGCCTGCTTGGCCACCTGGGCACACTGCTGGCTCACGTTCAGCCGGCTGTCAACCAGCACCCCCAGGTCCTTTTCCGCCAGGCAGCTTTTCCAGCCACTCCTCCCCAAGCCTGTAGCACTGCAGGGGGTTGTTGTGACCCAAGTGCAGGACCTGGCACTTGGTCTTGTTAAACCTCATAGCATTGGCCTCAGCCTGTCGATCCAATGCTTCAACACGGGACTAGTCACACACCCTGGCAGGCAAATCTAATGCAGCCTAAGCACCATAATTTAAAACAGATTTTTATCATGTTAAGGAGGAAAGTATCATCATGTCAACTACATAATCTATGGAACCAGGAAGAAATGAGAGAAAAAACAAGGTACTCCGAAACTCATTTCATCAACTTCCAATTATTGTATTATCACTCTTCAATAAACATCTCCTCTTCCTAACCGTCATATAATTTCATCTGTTGATTTTCAGACATTAATCTTTATTAAACCTGTTATGACTTACAAGCAAAGAGGCATTCCAACTGAGAAGCAGTAATATTTAGTGTTACAAGCATCAGTCTGACATGTAGTAAAGCGGACGATGAATACAAAATAAGCAGTGGACTGACTTTTAATTCTTTCAGAAATTTCTAATAATACCAGATGGAGGAGATATGCATGATATTAACTACATACCATGTATGAACATCATTTTGGGACAGTCTTTCAGTACCAAATCTGTTATTCCACAATTGGTCAAGGTGATTCCAACAAGGTTTTTGGATTTCAAAGTCAGCACCTGGTGAAAATTAAAACAAAACAAAACAAAACAATCTCTGAATTTTAAAAGATACTGCCAGACAGAGAAGGATATTAACTGGATACTAATCAATACAATATAGCTTCTGTTCGCAACAGGTATTTAAGATGACTAGGCTGCTGATGGCAATGAGAAAAAAAAAACAACTTCCTGCTCATCAGCAACATGACAAAACACAGAACAACGTCACAAGGTTAAAAGAGGAGTCATACCAGAAAGCACCATTTCTGTCAGAAAACCTGAGTGTTATCTGTCAGGAACTTCAAATTCTCTACCATTCAATTTCTATTTTTCAACTGTGATGACAAAAGTGGCAATTCTGGACAGTAACGCTTGTTTAAACACAGAAAAAAGGTATGGCGGAGAATCACAGTTTGAACTTCCCATACCAATGTATTTTACCAGTGCTATCTCAGAGGAAAACCTCACATGGAGAGCTGAAAATTATAACTTATTTAACCCTCTATGTCCACTATCTGTTAGAAAAACAAAGCACGCATCAAGCTGAAGCAGAATAATTTCCAATAGCATGAGCACATGGAGAATGTAATAAGAAAGTATCTTTTGGGAGTTTTATCTGAATTTTTCAAAGTTCTATCACTAAAAGGTCTAGCAAAATTTAGTAGCCCAAGGATGAAGCTGACCAATTATACAAAGACGACTAAACAGAGTTCTATTAAAGCTAAGTAAACACGTGTAAAGAGAAAAAGAAGCATTCTGCAATGGGTTCTTTCAGTTCGAGCAATTTAAGCTCTTGTAACCACGGATAATTTTAAAAAAATTTAAAACTCACAATACTGTTCTTTCAAAATAGCGTATTTTAAGAAGAAAAATCATGTACCCAAAAATATCTTCTATGCTAATTACAAAAGCTGTAAAGCATCCTAGTAACCAGAAAAATATTATGGAACACATTCACAAAAGTGATCTTAAATCAGTGAGGCTAAGTTCTTCACTGGACAGAGAGGGGAAAATAAACACAGGCAGGTTCCTCTACAGCAGAAGTCAGAAGAGAAGCTTAGGTTAGATGTTCAGAGTCACCCTCTGAAGCAATCTCATGCTTGGCTAGAATATGAGCCTTGGGTAAACAGCTTCAATACAGTGAAGCCAGATCTTGCAATTTCTCCTCCCATGACTGATCTTCACTGCAGAAGAATTAACTCGTGTTACTTACAGACTAAGAGAACTTCTAGCCTGAAAACTAACAGCTGAGTTGCTATGTCCAGAGGTAATTACATATCCCACGTTTCTTTAACAGCAGTAGCCCACGCTGTCATTTAAAAAATAAATGCCAGAAAATATTTTTTTCCCCTGCAGATCAAGAAGGACCTTGTGGGAAGGCAGGACTTCATGCAACACTATAGCCACGAGCATCTGACAAACTTCAAGTGTAGTTTTAGCTTATACTTTGCTCTTCTCAGGCCATTCAGAGCATCACTGCACCTAACAGAGGAACTTCCTGCATATTGTTGAGACCAAAGAGAGCAGCAACATCAGTTATAACTCATCAGGCTCTACAGGGAAGACAAGTTGTATAATTACATCATTGTTCTTGAGTATCCCCAGCTGATAAACCTGTAGCAAGTGAAGGAAAAAAACCTTACTTGAACATGATCATCTTCAATAACCGGATCACTTGTACTTGTGGACTTGTCAGCTGTCCTTTTCCGCTTTGTGGTTTGCCTTGGCTTTGGCTTAGCCACCTCTGGAAACAGAAAACCAGAAAAATCTTTCTTCCATTTACATTACGGGATAACAAAAGAGGCATTTGTTAGCTGAAAACGTCGAATAAGAACACACATTTCTTACATAAGCAAATCAAAATACCTGTCTGGCTTAGAAACAACTATATCTCTTTTCCTTGCACAAAAACCACTTTCAGGTTTGTTGCTCAGAATCATTCATGCCAAATAACTTGGGGCAGGGGGGTGGACTGTTTATAGGTGAAAACACAGCAATGCTGAACCTACAAGTTCAACATTCCAGAAAGATGCAGAGCCAAGAAAAGAACAGAAGATGAACTGTTAGGTTACACTTGGTTCTCTGCAGCAAACAGAACATTCTTGACAAATACAAGAACCAAAATAGCTTTAATGTTTTAAATAGTAGAGATTATCTCAAAGTCTGCTTCTCTGTAACTGCACAAAGTTTTTCCTAATATTGCAAAGGAAGTCCAGGTATAAAATACTTTGATGTTCCCAATCTGCTTCTTACTGCATTTCATGCACCAATGACATAAATTCCTGCTTGATTTAAAAGATGAGGCTTTGAAAAGAAACTATGATAGATGACCACCCTTACTTCCTACAGTAAGAGAAAATATATGCCCTAAAATTAATTTTCTGTGATTAACAGGTCAAAATGAGAAATTATTTTACTAAAATTAAGCTTCCTTTGACTTTTTTGTTATGGCATGTTCACAAAGATTCACAATCAAGATAGAAGTGCAAAGTATTAGAGACTATATATGAACTACTCCATGCTATACTACCATTAACATTTAAAAAAAATATCTTTTTTTGTACTTAACATCATCAAATTCCACCAATATATGTAAACTATTAATTACCATGTGATATTCAGTGGACCTGTGAGCTCCAGAATTCCAGCTACCACTTTAGGGGATCCACAGGTTGAAAGATGTAATATTAGCACTCGACTTGTGACAGCCATGCATCATCATCCCCAGTGAATTTTTTTGACAGTTCCTAGAGTATCTACAGAGAGTGAAATACTTCCTAGCTACATTATAGGAAAAACTTTCCAATTTTGTGTTGAATTGTTCCAGGTGCAGCCCAAGGACAAGAAAGCTCTACAGAAGGTTTAACGTAACGATGCATTTTAAAATGTGAAAAGCTTGCTTCACTACAAATGCAAACTAAAACAAGCCTAAAAAAAAAAATATTAAAAGAATGTGTGGCTTACATTTTTATTAAAGTAAAATTCAAAATTACACACTTGAGTTGTCCTTAGCCAGCTAGTTTGTGGTGATACTGCTTTTAAAATTTCACTATCTTTAATATTTGACTTGTTCTACACTTTAGTATGAATAAATAATCTAAAAGAAAACATGTACTTCTACTATCAAACACAGGTTTGTTACAGAAGCCAAAACCCACAATGTCATTTATGCTAGAATAATAGAAAGTAGTCATATTCATGGCACATTTTTAGACTATTTATGGAAAAACATTTCAAACCCAGTAACAGGTTATTTTTCAGGTTATACTTTAATGAGCTGTATACCCTATCCTAGTGAAGAAAAACACTACACCAGCCAGGCAGAAAAAGCCTCACTATCCTATGTATTAAACACAGACTTAAAGGATTAAAATGACACATCAAGTCTCAATATCTGATGCTTCAAAGAGGAAAATAAGTGCATGAAGATATACACAGAACTGTATGGAGCTGAGAAAACAGTTCTGACTTGTGCAGGCTAAACATAGGAAATACTGAGACATTTTTCTCCACGAGCAGAACAGATCTTTTTCCTGACTAACAACATGGAAACAGATATTTTCAGAAAGATATCCTAATTTAATGCTTAGATCTGACTGACTTCATTTCATGTTTTGGTAACGGATGAGGATAGAGAGGAAATACTTTCTTTTGATTTTTGCAGACTAATTACATAATGGACCAAGGTGGAAACCAGACATTTTAAATTTCATAGCAATTTGAGATGCCTCTAGCTACAGAACAATATCCTAGGTGATTCAGATTTCATTAACACTTGGGAACATTAAGATAAACTGGAAAGACACTAGGACATACTGTGTTTGAATCAGAGATATGAATTTGCTATCAATCTTTTCTACCTCCAACGCACACAGTTCTGTAACTATCACGGTTTGTTTTTCAGTTTCATTTTACTTGCCAGATATTCTCAGCAAAGAATCCTGGATATACGAGGTAATTACAAGTGTGCTATGCCAGACTAAGATGATTATTTTGGGAAGCAAGTATATTTGGAAGAAACAGCAAGTTCCCCTCTCACATCTATTCTTTCCACCCAACATCTCTGGCTTCATTCCAGCCCTTCAGGATTTTGGTTTTATTTTACTGTTTTGTTTGTTCTACATGATGTGAAGCATGAACCTATTTAATAAAGAGACCATTTTCAACAAGTTTGATCACCACGCCTTATACACTTGGAAGTAGAATCCAATATGCAGGTGCACAAGCTTGGCTCAATTATAATTATGTCTTGCTTTATTGGCTGATAAAGTATTAGTTACTAACTTTTGCCTTCTTGCTAAGATCTGAGCGTACCTGCTGTCTTCTTCCTTTTAAAGGGAGAATTTTAATGGGGGAGACAGTCTTATGTTTCAATGAATAACAGCCTTCACAGGAAGAGAGAAGCTGTCAAAAGAAGTTGGATTTGGTTTTCAAACGAGTAAATCAAACACTGTTTAGTATGTATGGATAACACATACAGAAATACTTGCACGGAGAAAAAAGTCACTGGCAGTCTGTCAGAGAGATCTGTTATTTTACTTAGCTACGGCACTGAGGTTGGCCATTTCTGTTCCATCAATACTCTGATCCTTTGACAAACCACTTAGTTTTAAATTTTTAACCAATAAACTTTATGTTTAACTTCAGTCTAATCTGTGGGTGTTGTGATTATTCAGTACTGTCTCATACCAGCACAGTAGTTTACTCAGAAATTAACATATGCATATAGGTCGTACCTGACTCCGACACCAGAGGGACGTGGGACAGCTTGCTTCTAGCTCTTGTTAGTGGTCGTCGAGGATACTCTTCTTGATACTCCCTCTCACAACTCCTTCGCTGTGAGCTCATGCTCTCCTCCTCACCGGCAGGCCCACTGGTACTCCCACTAGTCCTCTCGTCACGTGTCTCTCCTGAAGACCCACTGTTTGGCAGAGTCCTAAGTGCAAAATCTGACCCGGAGCTGTTTGGTCCATTCCTGCAGGCTCCACTCGTGGATGGGCATTCCCCATCGCAACACCCACTAGTCCTCTGCTGTGCATCCTGGGGCTTGTAGTAGGAACACCTGGAACAAACCGAGCTCTCCTCAGTCTCTCTCTCGCTGGAACCTTCACTCTTACAAGGCGAGCAGACACACTGCCTGGATTCATCTCCAGTTGCTGGACTGGTGCCAGCAGAGTGGCTATTAGCTGTCTGTGTGCAGTCAGGGCCAGGAGAAACAGCATTGCAGGAGCCGGACGTTCCCGCTGATCCTGCAGCACTACTGCAACTCGGGTAAGAATCTTTGCTTTTGTTCCTTTCAGGCATGTCACTTGCTGCTTTCATGTCTGCTTTAATTTGCTCACTTGTTACTTGACAACCTTTCTCACAGCTGCTTTCCTCGGTATGGAACTGCTTTGTCTGGCCCACTTGGCTGGCACTACATCTCTTCCGCAGTGGTGTCTTGCCTTTACCGCTCACTGTAACAGTTAAGCGAGAGAGAACAATGAGACAACCCAACACACAGTTTAAATAAATGCCGAGTGCTACTCTGTTAGAGACTACTTAAAACAGAAGGCAGCCCAGAGGCCAATGACAATCTTGTCAGGACCATGCTGCTACTCACACGTTGTTGGAATTAATAATATTTCTAGCAGTTGCTGAATGTCTGTAATGTCTTGAAGCTATTTTTGTACTGATATGCTGGGGCGTCTGTCAGTAAATGACATAAGTTATCTGCCAGAGAGGCTAATACTTTCACAAAGCAGATAACTGGTTAAAAAGGCCAAAGCACAAAAATATGAAAAACACACTGATAATAGGCTTCTGTTTTCTTAAATATGAGGAGTAAATCTGAGGAATTAAATGGTAACATAGATAGGACTAAAGTTTATACTTTCAATAGCAATCCTTAGCTCCCCCTCCTGGGTGTGGAAAGTGGTGTCAATAGGTAACAGTAGTCTCAGTTTAGGGATGAATAAAAAGCCATAGCAAAGAGTGTACAAATCACAATTAGAACTTAATGTTTACTATCTTAATCCTCTCAGTCAATTACACTAAACCAAGCCTGAAAAAACCATTATCGGCATTACAAAAGTTTACGCAAATTGTCTCCAAACACAGGTTATTTCAACCCTCAAACCAGAACTGACAACTACGCTATAAGCACAGCACTCTACAGATTTCCAAGTTGAAACTACCAGTCTTGTTGAAATGTGTAGGGAGTATGCTAGTTACAACAGGAAGATACTTGATCCATTACAGCTTTGATACGTCCTAGGCTTTGCAGAAATTAAACCAGTACTAGACCAGTACATCTCTCAGTCCTTCACAATGTAGGATTTTTATGTTAACTGCTTAGCTAAATATTTGTTAAGGCTTAATACTGTATGTACTTCGTCTGTCAATTACTTATAGATCACAATTCAACTTCAACTTCTCCGTTCTTGCATACATATGAAACTACTTCTCCTAGAACACAAACTACAGGAAACAGCATGTCATTTCTGTTGCTGGAAAGGCTGTACATCATGTGGTATCAGATCCAGGACTCAGACTTAATGCCACAAACGTGCAGCTTATAGATGTAAACTCAAAAGACAGGGAACACCCTTTTCTACGTCTCTCTGTATTTGTCATACTACCATGAACTTCTAGGCCTCTGACTCTAAATGTGTCATAATAATATATATACTATTACTAATATATATATATATACACACATACGCTATAACAGTAAGTGGTGCTCAAAAGTGAAGACGACAGTACTGAACATCACCCTGAGAATTCTCCAACCTCCAAAACTCCCATCAAAGTAAAGCTGATCTTAAAATATCCCTTTCAGGACACTACTGCAGGGCCCCCATGAACCAAAAACTGGCTACAATTCTCATGCACGTGACCAACAGTCACATTTTGTTTCAGCAGAAATGCTTTGACATTCTTCCAGCCTTTTAGGAAGCTAGAAATAAAACTGAACAAGACAGAAAGACTGAAGCTTAAGAATAAATTTTGCTTAACAGTGCCCAGGAACCCATCTGTTCCACACCTGAGGGTTCTCTAGTTTCCACTGGATCCCTGCTTTTCTCTTCTCCGTCTGAGTAATTCTGTGCAATGCTGTTAGAGATGCAGGCTCTTGAAGTCCCCATGTTTTCTTCCTCATCCTCACTGTCTGAATCATGGACAGTAATAGGTGCTACTTTTACAACAGACTGAATGCCACTTGGTCCTGAAAGCAGTAGAAGAATGACAACAGTTTATGTAAAAAAAAAAAAAAAAAAAAGCTGAGCATGGATTAAAGTTTGGCTGAAGAACTTTTACAACTGCTTGAAAAAATGACAAGAGATTAATTTGATTCAATCTAGCCACCCATTCTGTGGCTGCCTCATTAAAATTCAAATACAAGAAGAGCAAAACACTGCATTTCAGCATTAAAGCATTCTAGTTTGGAAGGGGAGGAGTGTCACAATGTAAGACAAAACACAGGTTTTCTGTAGTGTTTCTCTGCTTTAGAACAGCTTAAAGGTTATTCCACAATAGTATGAGTAACTGCACAACTGCATATTACAAGCAGTCTCTGAAACCTCCACCACAAAGACAGAAATGTCGGTCAGAACATCTGCAATTATCCTTCTAAATCCCACCACTAGAAGTAGGAAGGAGAAGCATGAATTATCAAGCTTCAGTATAAATGTGCTTCGTTAGTTACCTCTCTTGGCTACTAACTGAAGGCATTAGCCAATCACAAGGACATATCTGCCTGTGAATAACACAAGAAATGAAGTTAAATAACCTTTTCAGGAGTTATCTTGAAAAAGTGAACACATCCAGCAATTGTTACTTCATGTGGTTGGCATATTTAGCAGAAAATTATGTTGTCCAGCAAATAGTGGCTATAAAAGAAATCAAGATTGCCTTATGTCACTAATGTGTGTCACTAATGATGTCACTAATACAAATTAAATTAACACTGGAACAAGTTGTTCTGGCTTGAAAAAAAAAAGCAAAAAAGAATCCACATGCTGCAGTGAAAGAAGTAAAGCCATTAAAACCAACATAGGAACATGACAAGCTCATTCAGACCTTCTGAGTCTTTTATTATACTGGGCACAAAAATAAGGCTTTAAGATCAAGATATTTTACTTCATATACAAAAGAAAACAGGAGTCTGCAAAGCAGACTTCAAACCAGAATAAATTTCTTCACAGCAGAAAGCTGTGCAAGCATCATTATTCCAACACGAGACAACCTAGCTGAAGAAAACCATCCAAAACCAGACTCATACTGAAAAAATTAACCCCTCAAGAGGGGGATACCAAAAGGTAATTTCTTTCCAAAACCGGAGTTACCTGCTTGTTCTTCATCAACCTCCATAGGAACAACAGCCTGGCTGTGTGCTGGGAGCTCATTCTGGCCCTGCCCAACAGCCATCCCTTCTTCCTGTGCCACCTCCTCCATCTCATTCAGTGCTGAAAAGATTAAGATGAGGTCAAGAAGAGGAAACAGAAGGAACAAAGCCCATAAGCATAGGAGGAATTCAACTGGCACCCACAGAGAGTCAGAGAATCATCAAGAAACAAGTAATAGCTGCCTTGATTCCTTCAGTGAGTCTCTAGGTTGCACAAAGTCTCTCACAGATTTGTTCTACATCTCTTTAGCCAAGGCCCCAGCCTTGCTTTCAGGGTTTCCTTCTCCTAAATTTTCCAGTCGTCCTCAAAAGTCTTATTCTACTACAGTGAGCAGCATAACCAGGATTCAGAGATTCATTCCCTCCAATGACTTCTGCTTTTTCTGGGAAAGTTTAAAAATATACCATCTTACACTGCGAGGTACTCCCAGCTCTGACCAGACAAGCCTAGAAAACACTTCACACTTCCAGCAACGAGTATCCCACTGAAACTCTACATTGCTAACATCTGTACTGACATACATCATTGAAGTGTAATGTGCCTGTAACAGCTATTAGATACAATACAAAGATCGTTTTTTATCACACAGGTAGCAGAGACGTGCAGACCGTCCTCAGAAAAGATTAAAGTTATGTATCAGGAATTGAAAGAGCAACAAGCTTTCAATGTATATTCCTATCTTCTCTAGGACCCTACATAAGTGGCAAGGCAAATAAAATCACTCCCTTACAAAGGTTCACAAAGATCAGAGATTACCCTCAGCTGCAATCTGCTGCTCTTCAGCTTGACCATCTTGCCGCAGCTCATTCTCCTCATTCTGGTCATTCGGGTGTTGGGGATTGTTGTGGTGGATGTTTGCATTATTGTTATTCTGGTGGTTATTGTTGTTGTCATTGTCGTTGTTAGAGTTCTGATTGCTGACTAGGGCAGACGAGACACCAATTCCTGTGCCTGCACTTAGGCCCACACGAGCACAACCCTGAAAACAAAGAGCAGCTATTAAGATCTGAAAACACAGATGCATTATTTCCACAACATATCCTAATGCCCACAGAAAAAGCACTCTGTCAGTAGCACCCAGAATAGCAGAACGATACGCACATGAAGAACGGGGAAGCTGTCCCTAAAACTTCCTTATGTTACACATCGCATGTCCATCTTAAGTTTGGCCACCCAGAAAATACATAGTTTTCCCAGAACACAGGAGCCTCAAGACAGAATTAATGATCAAAGAAAGCCATTTCTTATGGCAGGCAGTTCTCATTACGTTACAATAGCTGTTACAGAGATTTGCGTTACAGGGTGGGAGAAGGGTGAACACGAAGAAATAAAATTCCTAAGCTTTGAAAGCACTCCAACAGGGGAATGGTACCCCCATTTCACCCACTACAAAATCATAAACCCCCCCTTAGCATTGTACACAGATCCTTCAGTGTGAAAAAACAACATATAAAAAGCAGCAGCAAAATGAAGTAGCAGCAGAGACTTCAACAAAAACAAAGAATTAATGCGAGTTATTTCCTGGTCACATAGTCACCCAAGATCATACCTTGCCACTGATGCCATTTGCAGAAGAAGCATCTTTCTCCCTACCATATCATGATAATAGCAACTGCAAATCAAAGTAATTTATTTACCAAGGTATTTAATTAATTACAACTTTTAAAAGGATGCATAACAGCTGAAGCTCACCGTATTTCCAATCAGCTGGCAACATAAGAAGCGAAACCATTCCCTGAAAGACTCACCTTAGGAGGTTCACGAAACATCTGGTCCAGAGAAATAAACTCTAAGCTTGGCAATAACTCAATGAACTGACTAAAAGAATCTAGCTTTATCGCATGGCATCGCACCAGGGTGAGGTCAACCAGTCGGGTCCACCTTGAATGATCTGCGGAAGAGAAGACATGCATTTCCTGAAGGATTCTTATCTCACTTACTTTTCATCATACCCTTTTCAGATTTGACAGTAGGCATCTTCTGTATCTCCAATTCTGACTGTTACCAGCATCATTATGGTTCCAAACCAAGCATCATCTACTGCACTTACTAAGAAATAGAACAAGCAGTACTATGAGCAGAAAAATTTTGCACAGCAGAAAAATTCAATCACAGCAATTCATATAATATCTCTAGAATTTCAAAGTTGTGCAATACCTGTGATCCAATTATTTGGGTTATGTAGATGTGGGCAGTTGTAAATGACCAGATACTTGATGCAAGAAAAAACTTCATTTACAGCTTTCATACCAATATCTGTAATAATGCCCGGATTTTCAACCACATCAGCCAAGCCATACTTCACCAAGTCTCCATTTGTCATTTTACCTATGAAATAAATAGTGGCAAACACAGCAGTAAATTTCAGAAACTTGCCTTTTATAATATGATTTTCTAACTCCCTATTTTAGTCCAATTTCACAAAATGGATCAGATTACTACTTCAGTTCAATAAAGCCGAGACTTGCCCAATTTCAGTAAGTTTAAGGATCAAGAAAAACATATTTGGCTGTATGACATCAGCAGCCTCAATATGGATACATTAATATTCTTTTTAATAGCTCTTAAAAAATGCTTGAAAACCCCCCAATTTATTTGATCACTGTATTTGTCAAATAATTCATGTATATAAAAAATGTCATACACTGTAGTAAAAATTCATCAACATATCCTAGATGAAGAGTTTCAAACTGTGGAAATTCCAGTTCAGCCATCTTCAAAGCAGAAAAAACACCGTCTTTGGTCAGGGAAGGCTGGATCCGCACTTCATGCAACCTGAATGCAATTAAGAGTTGTTCCTATTAAAGGCATGCCAAAACACAATTGCCATAGAAACCGGTCAAGAAGATGCCCCCTCATAATAAAATGAAAATATTCTTTCAACAGCGGCAGGATTAAGAGGATATTTGTTGTATCTTTACGGCAGTATTTGGCAGTTACACAGCAATATCATTGTGAGACTAGCAGCACCACACTTTTCAGACATAGGTCTAAGAAGCTAGCTTATGACACAAAGTGGTTCAGAAACAGACACAACTCCAGTTATTTTAACCACAGAATACTCCTGTGTTTATTCCTTAAACTTTTGAAGGTTGTTCTGCTTCTTCATGTTCTTGGGCTTCATTAATACGATACTTATTTTGAAAAAGGAGAAGAGGGAAAAGAAAGCTCTAAAGGCCCATACCTTCGTGCAGCAGTTATGATGAGGTAGCCAAGATCCACTTCAAGTGCATTCTTGCAAGCTCCCAGAACTATAGTGTGCAAATTCCTAAAACCACCTGATAAATAAAAAACCCCAAACCATTCTTTCACTTCAGTCACAGATCACAACCTTAAGCCTTATACATTTCCACCAGTGTTGTCTTGACAAGTGAATTAACAAAACACACCTTTTCTAGCAAATCAATAAAACATATATTTGCACCCAACTCCCCTCCAATCCTGCTAGTTCTACTCAGCAACAAATGCAACTGGAAGGCTAGCTTATTAGTCAAGAGTCAACTGCAGTTAAAAGATCAAAACAATACTCAATACAGAGCTATATTTAGCACCATAAAAATAGTTCCAAACTTGGTACCTTTAAATAATGATCAGGAAAGGATATGCTACATACAAAAAAAAGCTAAGCTTCGCATGCCTCCAGCATTTGCTAATACTTTTATTTATTTGTTTGCTTGTTTTAAGTATGAGGGATAAGAAGTGTCACACCTGATCTCCAGCTATCTTCTACCACGTGCTGGATAAGTCCTCCAAGAAACGGAACACGAACCAGTTCTAAATGCTCCAAGTTTCGAGCAGAAGCCAGGCCCGTCACTAGAGGAACATACTTCAAGGAATTTGTGGGTCCTACGTAGAACAAACCAATAAAGAAGGTTGTTCACTTCACTACATTGAACATATCATGTTAAAGAATTAAATAATGTCCACATAGATCCATCTAAATCAGGAAATCAACAGAACTACATAGCATCAAATAATGTACAGCAAACAGAGACATTTCTACCCGACACCATGAATAAAACGATGACTGTTTTTAGAACTTTGTATTCTAAGATTTCCATTCACAGTTCGTGCCTATGCAGCTTTAACAGAATTACATTTCCTACAGGCTAAAACATCCCCTCCATATATGAATCCCTCTTACCAGCACAGTTCCTCATGACAAAAGCACGTAAGCTGATACACAGGAAATCTTTAAAAGGCTGGGGTTTGGTGAGTCTCACCCACTTCAAATAAAGGTGCCTCAGCATTGGGATACAAGGAATCTCAGGGACATTCACCCCTAATAATACATAAACAAACCAAACATTTTAAACAAGCTTTAAATTATGAACTCTAGGATAAATTTCTTTGGATTAACATTCTGGCTTTAAAAAGAAAGTCTTTTCTTTGCTGTGTGGCATGTGAGAAAAGTTGTAAACATTTTAAACACAAGTTCTCCACCTCAGTTTGTCAACACAGTTTTTTAGAATTTGCCCTTTGGGCTTGCTATCATATATACAGCAAAGGCAAATGATTTAAAAAATGCCACATGCTGAATTCCCCTGCAAGAACTACAATCTTGCAGAGTTTCAAAGCCTTTAAATTCATCTGTGTTGAAGCCAACTACTTCACCATTACCACACTCACCTACTAAGTGCAAAGTCTGAATTTTAGCTCCTATAGGAATTTTCAGCTTGTTCTCAGGAGGAATTGGGAAAGCACCATTACGATTACGAAACTTCCCTAAAATGTGAACTTGTGGCATGTATGTCCAAATGGCTTCCACCAGCTCTAAATGAGAGGTCTCAACACCCTGCATGAAAGGAAGCAAAGAAAATGCTCTAACACCAGTTCAAGCAACAACACCCTCTTAACCATGTAAACCTCTCAATAACACACTATCCATAACGCAATGTGTAATTTCATTTTTACTTTGCACCAAGACTTGTCTTTTTAAAAGCACAGGGATCAGAGATTTAATTAATTTCTGGACTTAAGAGCACCAGTGATTCCCACTGGTGCAAATAAAAATAGTACTCATCTGCAAATAAGTCACAATTAACTGCTACTCTGTACAGCCAGATCTGAACAGAAAGCCCAGGTCTGAACACAAAGCCCTGTAAGCAAAAAGCTGCATTTCTTCTCTGTTAACATGCATCACCTCAGCTGCTGAAGGATGTTCTCTCTTGAGTCTAATCACTCACCAGCAGATTTGGACAGGCCTGCAAAGCCTCTAAAACTCCAGGAATGCTGAAAGCTTCATGGCCACGGACTCTGCGTCTTTCAAGATACCTGGGATGAAGACCATAAAGTTGTTCAATGTCTGGCATCTTCCTCAGCAGCGTTAGGAAACTGGAATCAGTGAAACCTAAGATGACAACAACAGATTTGGTATTTGTGTGACAGCAACACCCAGCAGTAAAAGGAAAGCCAAATACATTGTCATCTTTATATGGTAGTATGAATTCTACAATGTGGAAAGATGTACTCAGTGAAACAATGGCTTGTCTTCTACTTCCAGATTCTAGAAATCATGACCCACATACTCTTCTGCCTTGAATTTTGCAGGCCTGCTATAGGTTTCCTTCAGTGGAGTTGCAGGGCTACAGGGTTAACTATACCTCCTCCCTTCTCAGATGAAGCACCTTTGCAGACTGTCAGGCTTTGTGTCTCTTATCTTTCCTGGAATTCCGTTTATCAACTACGTGGCTCAGAAATGTCCGGCTGCGTCAGTTATACACAGTTCATCACTATTTACCTCAGCTCACAATTCTCAAAGGAATAAGACAGTTTCTTAAGGCAAAGGATTATTTTATTCTAACATAAGACAGCACATAAAAAGGATTTTAAACTAGTAAGTTACTTGTATTTACATCTATCTTAGGTTAGGTCTAATCATCTACCCTGATATCAGCCCTAATAAATCTAACTTTGCAGATCCTCTAACTTTCAGAATTTATTCATTTAAGCTCTCTCCCCCAACAATCCCAGCAGTGTAATTTAAATCCAACAGAAATCCTAATACTCACAGGGTTGACCTAGGTTGCCAAATTTATCTATTGATCTGAAGATGGCTTGAGGTGTGACATCAAAACTTATTTATTCTTACATTGTTAAGTGTTGGCAGATGAGTTGCTCTCTCATTCCATTGTATTTTTTCCTGTATTTCCATTGTATTAACTCCCTTACAATAATCAGACAAACACAGATTGTATTTACAGATTGCTGCAGAGAATCCCTGTTTCTGCTACAGTAATTTCCAATACATATACACACACACAGATACACACAGACACAGGTAAGTTTTTCAAACAATGTATTCAAGGAAGCCACCCAAATCTCACAAAAGTCAAAAGGGATTAACCATCTACCTCCTTTTACTGCTTTTGAAAATTTACTTTTCATATGTCGCTATAAATACCAGGACGGCACAGACAGTTTTGCTCAACACCACTTCAGTGCCATAGCTCGAGTGAGTGCAGTACTCACCAGTGGGCATGTATTCCCACCAACGGCCTGCACATAGATCCACCACCTTCACTACTCGTAGATAAAGTGTGACTGCTTCCTTCAGCTTCCGGGACAGGCATTCCATGCACATGATATCCTGCAAGGGAAGGTACCTTTGGGAGAGGAAAAAACACCCCTCTGATTTATCAAAGGTGGATCCTTTTTGTCTTTTTCCAAAGTAAAGAACATCCCAAGCATGACTACACAAATTCATATATTTCTAACACCTAATAACATTAATTCAAACAGAAGTTTCATACCATACTCTATAAAATGTAAAATTTTGCTGAGCAGAATGACTCATCAATTTTTGACACTGAATATAGGACACTTATGGTACAAATATAATATTAAAATGAAGAGATGCTTTAGTTCTCTAACAACTACTGATGAACAAACCACTTGCCACAACATGGTTTAATTAAAGGTACTTTCATTTTCTATTACACACTAGCACGGTCAATTTGCAATCGTTTTGGAGAGTTACTGTTTTCAAAGAACTTGTCAGTAAGGCATTATGGTTTGAATATAACAGGCATGAGTGAACATCTTAGAGAAGAATTGTGCTGTAGGGAAGATTATATACTCATGCAAGTTCCCTTCTGCACACTATGAACCACATGCAACAATTTCAAAAAGTGTATCTCAACTAGGAACTACCAGGGATACATTTCTGCACTGAAATCAATATTTAAACACTTGTTACCACTTATTTATTTCTTCTTCATTCTACCATTCATGGCGTTCAAATAAATTAATTTTCAAAGTATCCAAACGAATTTTGGGACTGAAAAAAACATTTATCACCCCTTTTAATCCAGTTTTTATCCACCAGTTCCCTCGTGGTACATCTACACTTTCTGAATACTGTGTGACTGAATCCTGAATCGCTGATGTGACACAAGCATCAATGCAGGTAAGATTGGGAAAAAACCAGAAAACAATACAGAAATTTTTTAAAAAAAAATATTTCTGACAAGCTGCTCACCTAAAAATGTGGCAAAGCACTTCATGAGAGAGTTGGTTCATGTAATCTTTTGGCTCATCCACTTTGGTAGACTCAGAGCCTTCCCTGTTCACTGAGCACGGTTTCACGCTTTTCCGCCGGGGACCCATATTTGCAATGATTTCTGATGAAAGGAAATGTTCACAATGTTATGCAAATTCAGTGCAACTGAAAAAGAAAAGGGACAGAGTAGAGGAGGACACACCAGTTAAGCTTCGTTTACCAAAAAACCCCAGCAAAATCTGCCAACAGACAGATGAGTTAACTGAGAAATACAAAAATTCTTCCAACAAGTTATAATTTGCACAGCACATGAGGTCTCAGACATAACCTGTCGATTATTAGATAAACTACAAAGACCCTCTAAGCTATGGGAAACTGACAAAGAGGAAAATCACCACAGGTTTAATCAGAGATCGATTCTTTTGTGTGAGTACAATGTCTTCAGATATCATCCACACACTAGTTGGTCAAGACAAATCACGGCAAAGCTGTGCAGAGACTACAGACGTTACCAAGCAAATACCAACTAGACATGTCCCAGTGACAAAGAAAGCCCAAAGCCTCTGCCTAGTAGAAAAATGATTTTCCTTTTTAAAAAAAGGGCTCCTAGTATCATTCCCATAAAATGCCCTATTAAAGGTCTTCAAACTAGCTCTTCTTAGAGGTTAGAACACCAAATAAAATATTCAGGTTTCTTAGTTGAAGACCAAAGCCCAGAAAAGCTGAAAGACCTTGCCTCAGCAGCAATGTGCAGGATATCCTCTCCTTTTTGCCTTTACTGAATTATTGTGTTGTGTTTACACTGTTCCTGCAGCACACGCACAGGCACAGAAGGACTGAAATAACAACAATACGTGTTTCATTTTAAAACATACAAATTGATTAAAAGTAACAAATATGTAACTAAAATAAATACAAACTTAACGTTAACATTAGAATAACTGAGTTAACACCTCATGCAGATGAACTGCATGAGAAATGTCTTCCCTACTGCTATTTAGCTGAGGAATGCTTTCTGGTAAGTAGGGTAAAGCATCATTAACTCAGTAAACCTGTTTAGCGGGTTGAATACCAAAATTCAGTGGATGAGGAGAAACAACTTTAAAAAAAAAAGACAGATTTGGAAAACCTAGCAGAGATGTGTCTGTTACGGCATTCGCTGTGATGTAAATATGCCAGTGTTTGCTCCACATCACATGGAAGCAGCAACTGAGAAGAAAAACAAAGGATCTCACGGAAATGAAAAATTTTGCCTTCTCCAACACAAATAATTTATATGCTGGCACAAAATTTGAAATATTGACAGCTTCAGTGTGATCTAATTCTTGAAAAACATGTGCTTTCACACATTTTTGTATGCACTTTAACAAGTGTATGTTGTCACAATTACTATATTTTTTTTAATGGTGGTATTAAAATAACTAAAATTAGCACCTTCTGCCTGTGAATAGCATGAAACATATCTCAACTCCTTCACATTGGCTAGAACTTCTCCAACCAAAGCTAAAGACACAGTTTGTTGCCTGAACATATATTACCCTTATTTTTGGTGCACACTGGAAGAGTTTAGCAAGTTTGTAATACTGCATTGTAATGTTGTTCAGCTTCATGAAGCCCAGAATTTATTTCAATCTAGTTATGAGACCGGATTCCGATGAAAACAAGTGTTACATGGATTCCCTGTGAACATCACCTGATGACTCAATGTGAACAATGGGCAGGATTCAACATAAAAAATTCTAGATTGATGCAGACATATGATGGAGTACAATACAGCAGTATTTAAAAGGCAGCATTAAAAGGACCGTAATATAAGGCAAAAGAAAGAAAGATATTAACAAACAGACCAGCATACAGGGAAAAAGTCTGAAAGAATCCTACAAGATTTAAATGCAATCAGCACTACCTGCTCTCTGAGTTTGGACTGTAGCTTAGTTTGGCTCCTGACATTAATTAAAGGAGGAAAAGAATGACCTAGTCTCTTATGAGGCTGCAGTTTCTGCAAAATACATGCTCCTCTTGATACTATTTTGAGCTAATGTGTGCAGCTTCAACATCTCATTCTATGTTAGGAAGCTGACCCCATTCAAAAAAGAAAAAACACTCTTAAGATATTTAATAAAGCTGAGAAAACAGAGTTTTGCTCCTCCCAACTCAATTAATTCACGAGAGGTTTTGTGCGAAACGACAACTCGATGTGCTATCTTCTCGATTCGCAACTACTACACCGAACTTAAAAGCTACGGGGAGGCCCGCGCCGCCCCGCAGAAACGACCGCTTTGGGGAAAAACGCCGAGACAGCAGCTAAGGACAGTCTGGCAACCGCTTATTTAAGAGGGGTGGTTCCTTACGGGGAGAAGGGAAAAAAAAAAAACCACACCACCACCCGAGTTTATTTTTGCTTAGATAAGCGATACAAAAGCAGGTTTCACCACAGCCTTCTTCGCTGCAGGCAGCCCGAACGCCGCCGTTCCCTCAGCGGGGGGGG